TATAAAAAAGCTTGAAAATAGTTTTTGTATTTTTTATAAAATCATAAAATTGTCACTATTAGTGACTTTTTTTTGTCTTAAATGAAGCATCAAACATTTGTATTGTTTATTTGTTTGTTTGGTTTTAAGCGCAAAGATACACAATGGACTATTTGCACTGTCCCCATCACGGGAATCGAACCTCGATTTTTTAGCTTTTAATTCACATGAATATCGCTCAACTACTTGAGGGAAAACATTTGTAAGACAAATGTAATTTAAATTATTCAAAAGTGTTTAAATGATATGGCAGCTAGAGATCAAGTTTTAAAATTATTAATAATTTGATTAAGCAAAATTAAAATTTAGCCCTTTCAATCCTAGAAATTGATGCGGTAACTTACTTTTTAATGGATTTATTAATAAACTACTTGATTGAAAATTTAATACTGCGTCGAAATTTGTTACCAGTTTGAATCCGAATTCAAAGTTTAGAAATAATTTCTAGAATACCTGAATCTACCGTTCTAAACGACCATGAATGATAAATGAATGAATAACTTTTTACATTGTCGTAGGAACTTCAAGGTATGAATATCTTCGGTTAAAAACATTAATAACGTATTTATAACTAAATAACATTAATCTGATGAGGTAGTTTTATTTGAAGCTTTACTGGGAGCACGGAAGACAAAATTTCTGTATTGGTAAGAATCACATTAACGGATCTATGTAAAAAGTTAATAACAGAATAAATGTGTGATAATTATAGATAATCTAAGTATATTGTATGGTTTTAACTATTATTAGATTGTAGGTTAAATGTTTTACATATATAGTCCGTAAACGTGAAAGAAGAAATTTTGCAAGGGGATTGGTCAGTTTTGACTTTGTTGATGTAATTTCAAACTCTAAAGATCATACACAATTCCACAATATTTGTATAAATTTTTACCCTTTTTTTGATATAGCCTAAAACTAATAACAACACAGAGTTTTGGTACGACATTGTGTGTAGGAGATCAAAACCTCAATAATGATATTAGATTTAAAATATTTATTTTCTCTTTTTATCCCCCCCCCCAAAAAAAAATAGACGATCGACCAAAAAGTCATGATGGCATTCCTAGAATGTGAAGTTTCACTAACTTGTAATTTAAAATAAACAATCTGTTCATCATTAAAAAATGTATATTAGTCTCCTTTTGCAAGTAACTTAAAATCAGGAGTGTATTTTACATTTTTATTAAACCAAACGAAACATTACATTTCATGAAATACGTTCTTTAGTCATCATATAACTAAGAGTTCATTATTTAAAAAATTACTTGTAATAGGCCTGATGATTATTTTATGATTTCAGTAACTGTAGCATAATTGATTTGTTTCGTAGAAATATCTTATTCCTTCCGATCAGCGGTGTCCAAATTTCCTGTAAAGATACAACTGAGTCAATGATGTTTTGAATAATTCATGTTAAAGTTCAAGGAAGATGGTATGTGAACAAATATTAGATCATTAACATATTTCATTACAATGATATAAACCAAGTACTGTTCAACAATACCAGCCACTTTTTTCTTCTACAAACTTTCCTGTTTAAGCATATGTTTAAACTTCTTGTTACAGCCTGGTCCTTTTGGAAGGTTTTTATAATACTATAAATTGCCTGACGATTCCATTCTCCTCTGCTGAACGTCTAATAGCTAAAAGATGAATCTGAAGTGATAACATTTCAAGTCAAGTGTTTGAAATAAGTTACAATATTTCATTCTCAGATTAAAAAACGGTATTCACTACAAAAAACAAAATATACCCGTTTTATGATCACTCTGGCGTTAGTCTGTGTTTATATGTTTGTTGGAACTGAAGTTGACTTACAAGCAAAACTTTGCACAGTAAAAAGCTTTGTAAAAGTGATTAAAGCAATAATTATTGTATATTCTTTTTCAGTTGTTTCACATTGTGTTTAAGTTATGGTCATTTTTAACCGATTAGGATCTGAGTAAATTTGACATGCTAGGGAGTAGAAAAGTTCGTCCAAAGAAGACCAAACCTCGTAAACGAAGAATTAGTTTATTTTTAACTTTGTAAGAATGTAGTCGTCACGTGTTGCTAATGAAATGTGTTGACGTTTAGACTTCATGTTAACCATGCTACACATTAACAACTAAATACATTTTCACCTGCCATTTTATTTGAATTGGGATACTGTTTAGAATCTTGTTCTATCCCACAACTTCTTTTTTTTAATTAGTAAATACATAAACAACGATTTGCTTTTGGAACATTTCTTCATACTAATCTCTTACCTAATCATATTTATCCATCTTGAATGACAACCAAAGTTCGTGCCTTTTAATACTTATTAAAGTTAAGATAGAATATTCAAACGCAAAACGTACCAATCTTTAAAAAAAATAAAAGTGGTTTTAGATTTTAAAGATCTGATTTTCCTTGCTTTTATTTAAGGTAAACTTAATATTCTATCTTAACTTTAATAAGTATTAAAAGGCACGAACTTTGGTTGTCATTCAAGATGGATAAATATGATTAGGTAAGAGATTAGTATGAATATTCTATCTTAACTTTAATAAGTATTAAAAGGCACGAACTTTGGTTGTCATTCAAGATGGATAAATATGATTAGGTAAGAGATTAGTATCAAACATTTTCTCTGTTATCAATCTCTTTGACAATTTTTCTCTTTGTGAATCAACAGTTATAGGAAAAGTTATTTTGAACTACGACAAACAAGGATGAAAACCAGCTGTTTGGGTACTATACATATCTTTAAAGTTTTCAGTTAATATTTAACTTGCGAAGTTAAGGGAGAGTTGTGTTGATTCTGTAAAGCTTGGACTAATCATAGTTATATATATTCGCCCTCAATGGTTCAACGGTAAGTCCCAGGGCTTATAATGCTAAAAATAGGGGTTCGAAACTCGCGATGGGCAGAGCATAAATAGCCCGTTGGGTAGCTTTACCCTCAACAACAAATAATTATACATAGTCCCAACTGTCAAAATTGTAGTCTTCCCTTCCAAAAGTACATTATTAAAAATGATGCTAAAACTGTTAGTATTATTATTAATTTTAGTGGTCTTAATCACAACAAGTGTCTTTAATAATCGGAGAAGCTTACCTTAGAATAAGACTATTAATTAGCTAATTATTTTTCAACCATTCCATTGTAGGATTCACTTTGTATGGAATATAAGTTTTAATTACATTACAAATTATTCTTATGCCCCAATCCTCTGTGTCTCAGCGGCAAGTCTGATGGCTTGTAACTCTAAAAACCGGGTTTCGATACCCACGGTGGGTAGAACACAGATAGCCCATTGTGTAATTTTATACTTAACAACAAATAAACATAGATATATATAGATCAAATAATTTATTCCCATTATATTAATATTATAAATGTTATGGAAAAACTCTAAGTTAGAATTTCAAGTTAAAATTATCTGCAAAACAACAACAACAACAAAATCAGTCCTTAAGAGCACCTTGCAATGTTTATCAAATTGAAGTTTACAGGAAGGGCTCTACTAAGCTGTCAATCGATATTCACAACGAACCGGTTCGTGCAATAAATATCATACACAATAGGACAACCGACAACATTTATCAATATTTATGGAGATTTAATGAAGATGCATGCAGCTTCAAGTCCGTTCACAGCCATATTATTTACCATGTTCAACATCAAACCAACAGAAGAGACACGCAAAACACAGATTAAGTGTGTTTTTTTTCCACAAAGGCGTCAATTTTATTTGAATTTCAAGTATCAGTTAGGATACATCTGACAAAACTTTTGAGACAGAACATTTTTTCTCAGACACAATATTCAATAAGATAAAATTTAACCACAGTACAGTTTCTTTATTTTCCTTCCTAAATGTGGTCTCTTCAAAAAAAAAATCACACAGAATGGTTACAGTTTATTGGAAAACAGTTGGAACAGGTATATTCGTCTAGCGATTCTGATTTTCTTAGCATATGATAAAATTATAAAACAACTTATTTAAAAAGATCATTTTTATTCTCTTTTTTTCCCAGTTTTGTCTACCTCATTTTAATCGTATTTACTAAAAAAGCGTTGTATAACTAAAATACCTGGAGGATTGATTCCTTCCATAAGTCTTGACGACTTTATTTTATTAATTATTCAAGATTTCGTTGGACAGTTCCATTCGAAACACAAGTAACAACCATGAACGTAGTTTAGCTTAGCATCATAGAGACTTGAATTAGATTCGTCAATAAAATCTCGCTTTGACTTCGATTTATTCAAAACAACGACAACCCTGTCATTTCTTACTGGTAATTTTTTAAACAGTAGTAGTTGCTTTTCACAGCTTAAAGAATGGAAACACGTATATAGTTGCTTTCCACAGCTCAAAAAAAAGAAAGAAAAACGTATACAGTTGCTTTCCATAGCTTAAAGAATGAAAAACTTATATAGTTGCTTTCCACAACTTAAAGAATGTAAAACGTATATAGTTGCTTTCCATAGCTTAAAGAATGAAAAACGTATATAGTTGCTTTCCACAACTTAAAGAATGTAAAACGTATATAGTTGCTTTCCACAACTTAAAGAATGAAAAAACGTATATAGTTGCTTTCCACAACTTAAAGAATGTAAAACGTATATAGTTGCTTTCCACAACTTAAAGAATGAAAACAAATTTTGCTAATTTTATTTCATTTCTCTTTATTTATTTATTGTCTTTCCAAAAAAAAAATGTTTAATGACTCTCAAAGCTGATGGCTTAACTTAGAAACGATTCAAAAATATGACTGAATAACATCTATCACTATAGTTTGAAATGCTTCTTTGATATGATTCATAAACTTACAATATGGTTGTTTTTAACATTAATACAATAATATATACATACAAACACACCAACGTATATATATAAATGAATAATAATTTAAAAGTTCTATATCAAATCAAATATGTTTTGTATCTTAAAATATTTTTAAACATAGATAGCATTACGCTTCTATACTGAGAGAGTGTTGAAATATATTCTGAAAATGTGATGAAGCGCTTAGCTTCAAGTTTTAAACAAATGATTGAAAGCAAGTTATCTGCCAGAACAATCTGATCAACTACTTATTTCAGAAAACTGATTTGTGAAACACCAAATCCTACTCATATGAAACACTGTACTTAATTTTTCGATAAGTTAGCCAGCAAATACATATAAAACTGTATGTATTAGACGTTGGTAAAATGCTACCAATGTCTAATACATAAGTAATAACTTAAGAAAAGGAAAACATCTGGTGAGAAATTCCTGTGCAAAAATATTTTAAAAAAATGTGCCGAACTTACCTCAAATATAACTTATAAAAGTTCTATGGTTTAACTGAAATCAAACGATTCACATCTGCATATTTGTCAATATGTATGTTTTATATTCTAGGTTATGTTGCATTTTAATTGCAAAGTGAGTGATTAGTTACTAGCGTACGAAACTTTAAAGAAACATTTTTCAGGTTGTGAAAGGAAAATAATTAAGGCTGTAGCGCACAGATGTTAGAATGAAGGGGGCAATTTTTCCCTAAAATAATATCTGCTCGATCTCCAGAAAGAAAAGAAACGAGAAAATGGAGAGAAAAAATGAATATATATATTATTTTCTCCGTGATTGAAAAAACAGCAAAGGAAATTAATATTTTTCAATTCGATTCATTATATATTTTTCTGCCTCATAATCCATGGTCATAAAAGTTAAATTACAATCTTTTGTGGCTGAAACTGAGTCAGAAATTGTGGAATTTTAAAACAAAATTATTTGAGATTTCTTTTACGTTACTTAACTTTTAATGAGTCAAAAAGTTTTAAAGTCACTACAACAGTCAGATAATATAATTAAATCGAACATTTTCGTCCATACTGAATTTATAAACTACAGGTGTTTATAGACACGTCTTTTAAATTTTATAAAGGATAGTACAAAACTATACTAATTCAACAAACATATTTTCGCGTTTAAAAAGATGTATTGTTTTCCCTGTAAACCCTAATTGTGTTTTTCTTTGCTGTTATACGCCTTGCCTGGGTTCTAGAGAGGTTTCGTGCCTTAGAATTCCATTTGATAGAACCTCCAAACTCTTTTCTGAGAGCGAGAGCCTCATTTTGCCCCCCATCCTCAATAATAAATTTCTGCCTACAACCTATACCTATGTAATGGAAACTTGTTTCTAAGATACTTACTTAATTAGTAAATAATCCAATGTTTTCTATCTGAAAACGAGGGTTTTAACTATACGCAATTCACTATGTTTCCTCTTTGAATATTCTAACTTGATTATATGTATTGTCTAAGATACAATACGAATAAGTAATGCCGCTTTAGTAAAATGTAGTAGATAATTGTGAGCAATGTAACCACATTCCGACCTAAGTGGTAGCCACATTTAGCAGCTAACAAACCAAGTTCTTGAACAAGAATACTATGTTTGAGTGTTTCAAATGCAAGACCTGTGTTACTAGAAATAATAGTTTACAGAACTTTATAATTGGAAATTATGACGGCTCATTTTGTTAATGATGCACCTTCCTCAAATCATCGTGTTGTACGACTACGTCAGAAATAACTAACTAAGATATCATAAACCAAATAAGTGAAGAAAATGTGCATGGTTTTACTCAAGTTATTCTATGTTTGACCCCCATAAAAGTTGAAAGTTTTCCTTTTCAACAAAAAATCATCAAAATCTTATTAGGTTTCACTATAAATCTAACAATAAAGTTTCGGTTGAGATATATGCAACTACTCAAGTCTTCAGTTCTTCTCTCTCAAGAAAATAAACAAAAACAAGACAAACTCTGGAATTTCAAATCTGATGGCTAGAAGAAAATCAGAACTGCATACAGCTTGATAAAACTGTCCATGTATGAGTGTTGCTGCAGTGGCTAAAGACTGGCGCGGAGGTTATTGATGGCACAAACACCAGATTTATTCACTCATTGGTCGCGAACGTCAGGACCCATCGTTCCACGACTGTGAATTCACTAAAAATTGAAAGAAAGGGACTATCTTGAATTCAATTTCAAGCTGCTGTGTATCTGTACTCCTAGATATTTTTTTCTTCCTTTGTTTTTGAAATTTTACTGTAATATTTTATCTAAATATTCTGTATACTAGTATATATTCTAATAGTAGGTAAATACACAATATATTGTAGATTAATCTAAAATAAAGTTTATATCCACTATTAGGGAACAACAAGTTTACATACATACAAGTTTTGACACTTTCATCCGTCTTCTTCAGTCCAACTTTTGTTTGTCAAGCAAAAGAAGTTGGTCTGAAGAAGACATGTAGAAATGTCGAAACTTGTATTTATATAAACTTGTTTCCTAATAGTGGATCTAATTTTATTTTTGACACACAAGTATGTTTTAAACAAAATCACGTAAATAATTTAATGTGTAAAATAAGTAATGTGATACTTATTTGTTAGCAATACTTACAACAAGAGGGCGATGTACTGTTTAATTTACCAACTAAACTGAAAACAAATTACCAGTTTTCTCTTCCTCAGGATATATAAACACAGAAGGTTCCTCGCATCTGTACACAAAATTATAAATGCATTTCTACAATACTTTCTGTTTTAGTTAATATCACCTTGTTTGTTGTTTAGAAATGGTAGTGTAAAGTGTTACTAATTTAGATCAAAATGTGCACACAATTTTTTTTTATCTTGAAACTTTGTTGAACAGGAAAGAATTCTACCCTTTCTTTTACATTGGTAACATAGTGTATTATTTACAAACCTGTAATGAAACTTTGCCGTTTGTTCGTTTTCCGTTACTTTACGTTAGATCGAAAAATTAATAAAAATTAAAAATTAATGAAATACTTAGAACAGGTTGTATATACTAAAAAAGTTATACCACGAAACTGAAATTCTTACAAAACAACTCTTTTTTTTTCGCAATAATATTACGCCACTAATCACCCTTTTGTATTTATAACCCAAAATTAATGTCTCATTGATTTTCAGACTCGTTAAGGGTACTAAAAGCAAGAAACAATAAGGTATTATTTTGCGATATAGCGAACCGTCACGGCAACATTCAGACTGTTAGTATATTCCACATCAGAAACAGTATATTAGATTGTAATACACTATAAAATACACTTAGTAATTTGATTTAATTTTTACAAAGTTCATTGTAGGTTATCTTATAATATAACTTTCTAAATAACAGTTAATAATCAACAATATATGGTGTTCAAATAAATAAATAATATGGTGTTAAAAAAATCCATACCCTAATTCTGGTGTGTTGTGACATAAATAAAATTTATAAAATGTTACACTTCACCAACTTAATCCAGTTCAGTTGTTTTAACAGTTGTTCTCAATCAATTTGCTAATATAAATAGGTTTGTTTTTGAATTTCGCGCAAAGCTACACGAGGGCTATCTGCGCTAGCCGTCCCTAATTTAGCAGTGTAAGGTTAGAGGGAAGGCAGGTAGTC